ATGCAAACTGTATAATAATTTTATTAACTTCTTATCATTGGTGTTATTGTTCTTTGAAGATACAAGATGATTGTACAGCACTCATCAAAGAAAATGCTGCATTGGCTGCACAAGTAATAGAACTGCAGAAACATATTGATATGGTAGGATAATATTTATGAATACAACAACTTTACATATAATGAGCTTGAATTTAGAAGCTTAACTATATAAAAATTTCTCAGTACCGTATTTACTCGAATAGAGGCCGCCCCCGAATAGACGCCGCCCTCAAATAGACGCCGCACTTAAAGCTCAAAATATTAATAGACGCTGCCCCGAATAGACGCCGCATCTGGGTGCGGCATCAATTTGAAGAAATAATGATACCAGCCAATGGGAATTTATTTTCTTTTAAAGCATTTTTTATTTCGAAGTTACTGTACATTTTTGCTCTCAGCAGCTGTTAGATTCCGACCACGAGGAGGACATTGATGTTGAAATAGAAGTTTAACTCTCGGTTAAAATCATAAATTGAATCGACAAAATGAACACAACATTTATATATTGAGATTCGTTACTGTTTGTAAGTAAAAAGATACAATATAAAGTACGGTATGTAGTACTGAATAAAGTGTTTTTTAATAAACGCCGCCCCCGAATAGACGCCACCCTCGAATAAACGCCGCACCTGGATCGTGAAAAATGAAATAAACGCCGCGGCGTCTATTCGAGTAAATACGGTATTGTCTAGTTATTGAAATGTTTGGCCCTTCCAAAATCAGTTAACATCAGCCAAGATAACATTTCACGGTCATCTTTACCTACATGTTCCAGGCCAATGTTTTGAGCCAAAGTAATAAGCACTTAATAATCTATATTTTTTTTTACCGTTGAAAAGGATCGTGCTCACAAAGATGAAAAGGATGTGAGACGCAGTGCCAATATACAAGAACTTGTATCACTAAAAGAGAGCAACAAACAGCTAAAACATGAGCTTGAAAAGACACAAGATCTATTACGACTAGAGCAGTCTGC